AAAACGTTCTAAAACATTTAACCTGTTAACATTCAAATAAACAGAAAAAATGATCAACTGATTTTGCATACTTTTGTCGCAAATCATTGGAAAAAAACATAAAAGCAAATTAAAACATCGAATAATTTGGTTGGACTGCTTTTGTAAACAAAAAAATGAAAAATCATCAAAATTCATGATTTATTAAAAATTTTATCTTATATACATACTTCAAGTTGTTTTATACGATTTAAATTGTGCGACAAGGACACAACATAAGGTATGCTAAAATCAACAAGGGAAAAATCACACTAAAACAAAAATATACTTTATATATATATTCTTAAATAAGTTATTTTATATACATTTTAGTTATGTGTGTCATGGACACAAACAAAAATTTATGCCAAAATTTAAGGAACAAATCCCCACTGAAACGAAAATATATCTTATATATACATTTTTCAACTATTTTCAAATTTTATATTAAAAACATAGACTTTTATAATATAGTTATGCTAAAATCAACTTTTTTTTTAAGTTATGCGGAAAATCAAAATTACTAAAAATAAAAAAACGAAGATATACCGTTTATACATTCTTCAAGTTGTTTTATCTGGAAAGTTTTAGAAATAATCAAATAAACTTAAAAACATATATAAAATTCAAAATGGAACAAAATATTAAAAAAAAAATATATATTATATATATATATTCTAAAAGTTGTTTTTATATGGTTTTACATTTACGTGACATGGACACTAAAACTTTCAGTTCAAATTAAAAACATTCCAAAACCGTATGATGTTATACTTCACAATTCTTTCACTCTTAGAAATGTGGTTGTCATTTGTCTTACTCATTTTCAATCCTTATAAAAAAAGTACATCCATGGAAACTATGTCAAGCACATTAAAAATTTATAGGGTAGTTAAACACTAAAAAAAGTCTTAAATTTGGTACCTGGAAAAAAATAGAAAAACCATTCAGAAAGGATTAAAATTATATTCTATGGAATAGACAATCTTAAAATTGACAAGAATGATTGTATTATAAGTAATATGTATTATATTATACCATTTTAAATTTGGTAATTTAAAATAATCGTTTATAATGTTAATATGAACTGTGGATAATTTATAAATCACCTAAAAAAAGATATCGGTATACAAAATCTTCATAATTCAATTTTGAGCACTTAAAATTATGTTTACTGAAAAAGTTAAAGCATATTTTTTTTGTATTTTGAAAAGGACTCTTAATCCTTGACAGTTCGAAGAAGCCTTCTTTAATTTCAAATGGAAAAATTTCTCGTCCTACTAAACAACGTATCGTCAAACATTTTTTTAAATTTATAATTTTTTGTCCTCACCTCTTTTTTTTAATGCAATTTTTAAAGTATAAAATGAATTTAAAAATACAACGCATTCTTGAAAATATATGAGCCGTATTATATTTTGAACTCTCTCCGATATAGATTTCATACCCGTCAATAGGACCAAGTTAATAGATATAAAATTATTTTAAAATTTTAATTGTTACACACAATTGAACATATATATATATATATATATATATATCATAGATAGATAGATAAATAGATAGATAAATAGATGAGCCCACACTTATTATATGTAGATGTTTATTATTATATATGTTGATTGTCGAAATGAACTGTATATTAATTGTACTTTTTCGGCTATATTTATCTATGTATTTCATGTATCTAGAGTTATAGGAATCAAACATATAATTCTAGCTAGATACATAAAACAATCCATATCTTCATTTAAAAATTAAAATAGAATCATCCTTGATAATGGCTAAAAGTACTTTTGAAGGACATTTTAAATCCACAGCCAGACAAAAAGCTATTTGCTGAATTTTGACTCAAATTTTTCATATAACAGTTGTTATTAATAGTGTTGGATTAAGCGCATTGACAAGAAGGTTGATACCACAGTTCAGGTTCAGCTTTCTGTAAACTGTGTATTTTATCCCCCAAATCTAAAACCGTCTTTCAAATGAATTCTTTTTTTTTTTTTAACTAAATATACACCGAATACGAAACAGTGGAGGTGAAAGCTTGCTTTACCAGAGGGAGAAATGGTGCGTGGTATGGTGCAATGGATAACGTCTCGGCGTGAGAAATTGGAGAACTGAGTTCGAATTCCAGTCAGGTTCGCTACTTTACCTTATGCTCAAAATTTATCTCTCCCCACCCCCAGCTATTGTTTGAATAACAGTACAGACTGGGGTCCTATAGACTTGGCTGGCAACCAAATCTACCGCAGAAAAATCGGAGAGCCGAGTTCGAATTCTAGTCGGGTTCGTTACATTCAATTACGCGTAAAATTTCTCCCCCCCACCACCACCTCAGATATGGTTTGAATATCAGGACAGACTGGGTCCTATAGCCTTGGCTGGCAACCAGTCTACCGAAGAAAGAAACGGTGTGGGAAAATCCTCTGCCTAGTCAGTCATGAATCGAAAGAGGCATGATCGCCTAAGCGTGTGTTACGCATCGCACTTAACTGAAAGACTCAATAGAAGTGAGGAAGTTGGGGAGAGACATGATCGCCCAAGCTTGCATCACGTATGACACAATTCAATGCACACTGAATACAGGACCCAATTGTCATTATGTTTTAGTAACCTTATACCTTGAGTAGCTCTTGCGCCTTTAATAGGAAGGGAATGAGGATGATTCGCTTCAGTGTTAATGCATGGCGGTTCTTAGAAGTGAAGGTCTGAACTGGGGGAACTAGAGAATGTAGCTCGACAGAACATTTGCCATGGAAATAGCGATAGAATAGCGAGGGACTTAAAACATTGCGTCTGTGGGGAAAGGAGTTGTAGGGTGGGAAATAATTCATCGTCAACGATACCGCCTGAATGATTTTGTCTAGGCTGGAAAGAGAGGACTGAGCAGCTCCAGCCTAGACGTGGCAACACTACATGAGCGAATTTAAGGAGAACGAGATCCCAAAAGACTCGTTCGGACCAATGGAGAAGATGCTGTGATAAATCGGTAAGTATCTAAGGAGAGTACTTCGTATAGAACGAAAGCGCCATTGCCCTAAAAGGTTGGATACATTCCGGACAGACTTCGTAGTTCAACCCGGCTGTGCGATAGTAGTGAGGGGACCAGGGCGTATCAAACTCCTCGCCCCCACCGGCACCTGGCAATGATCGGAAAGATTTATTCGCTGGCCACCCTCTTTACAATGTAGAGATGTTTACTTAGAAGGAAGGCAGTGTGGTATGATGGTGTTGTTTACAAAGTCACAAGTCTGGATCGAGTGGGGATCGAACTCCAAACTTTGTTTTGATTTTAAATGCACATTTTCACTGTTTTCTGGAAAGAGACAGAAAACCTTTTTCCGCATATAAAAGTTTTAGAAGCTAATGTTTTGGGAAAAAAACAAAACAAAACAAAAAGAAAAAGCAGAAAATGAAATTTAGATATATTTAATTAGCAGAGACATGTCGAAATTAACTGTCAGAAAGATTGATTTTTTTACGGCTTATCAACCCTTTGCAAGTTATTTAAAAACAACAAATATTTTTACATTGTAAGAATCTTTTGAAGATTATAATGATTTAAGTGAAACAAATCCTACTAATTAACCCATAGCGGGAGGGGGGAGATGTGGAGTCATACATTTCACAAGTGTATTTACCCGTAAGTGAATATAAGGAAATGACTGGTATTAGAAGTCGGTTCTCGGAATTCCATTTCTCGCTACACCATCCGTACATCCAAGCTTACAACATCTGTTATTTCCAAGCGGTTACCCATCTACGTACTGACTAGGCTCGACGTTGCTTAACTTCAATCATTGTACGAGGACCTGTGTTTCCATATCTCAATGTGATGAAACCGCAGAAACAAACAAAAGTGGTATAATTCCTTCAAATGAGATGAATTACACGATATTTTTATTTTTTTGGTCAATAATTTCTAAATGTCTTCGATTCTTCATACTACATTTAAGTTTCGTAAAAATAGAAAAGGATGTAAGACAAGGCTATGTCGTCTCACCAGACTGATTCAACCTTACAGTGAAGCAATTCTGCGAAAACTAAAAATCCAACCAGGATTCGTTACTGGCGGCTACAATCTTAACGGTATAAGGTATGCAGACACAGAAAGATCCACCTGGATTATATACCAACAGGTCTATTACCTGTAATAATATATATATATATATATATATATATATATATATATATATATATATATATATATATATATATATATATATATACTACAGTTCGAATTGGTCCCAAAAGCAGAAAAAGAAAATTATTAGATATGGTTAAAAAATGTTTTTTTTATTCTGATAAAATTTTATTTTGATAAAAAGAAAAAAAAGCAATTTTATTTTGATAAAAAGAAAAAAAAAGCATTTTATTATTAAATTTTACTCTCGTCGAAATATCCTCCTTCAGCCTTGATTAATGCAGCACAAATTTTTGGCATTTTTTGCAAATGTTTCTCAAAGTATAAGATCGATAATTGATTTCATTCTTTTTTTCCACTCTTCTGGAACTGTAGTATATAGCCTATTGAGTACTGTGAAGAAAGAGAATTTTTAACGGCTGCTGCTGCTTTACGCATAGCTTCGTAAGAATTGAGCGAAACTTGGCTGCTGGTCTCGCGTTTATATATATCACGTATAAAATACGTTAATAAAATCACGCGACGAATAACTGATGCCAAATCGTTCGACTTTCGATACCAGCTTGAAGCAATCGGATGTCTAGCCACACTAATGAGCTGTTTGTAGATGATAGATAGATAGATAGATAGATAGATAGATAGATAGATAGATAGATAAATAGATAGATAGATAGATAGATAGGGTGGTAATCGAATGACAAAATAGAAAACGCTCCTAAGTCACGTGATACGTTCCGAGAAGGAGTTTTATATATTTGCAGTGGTGAGAAGTAATTTCACAAAACATAGGTTGAAATTCGAAATAATAATTAAAAAAAAAAAGAATCTACCTGGCTTACGGCCGTATCACGTTGAAACACTGGTTCCCGTACGATCACCAAAGTTAAGCAACGTTGAGCCTGATCAGTACCTAGATGGGTGTCCGCTTGGTAAAACTAGCTTGTAATGGATAATGGCTCGGAATTGTTAATCGGGGTGCAAAGTTCTAATTCCTGTTGGGTTCGTTATGTTCAAGTTAATAGTCTTGGGAAAGGTATGTATCTAACACTCCACCCCACTAGCTATGGGTTAATTAGTAGGACTTGTATCATTAAATCATTATTATGTAAAAAGATCTTACAGTATAAAAAACTATTTTCTGACTTTAAAATTACCTGAAAAGGGTTGATAGAGCTTAGAAAACGAATCAATATACAGGGTGTTTCAAAAAGAATACGCCAAAATCATCACGTGATATGTCAAAAACGAAAAAAATTACAAACCTCTAGCATGAACACATGTGTTATATATACATTCAAGTTTCATTTCATGTTTTATAAGTGCTCAATATGGCCACCACCGGCAGCGCGGACAACATCAAGCCGATATGAGAATTCCTCCCAAACGCGCCCCAGCATGTCAAGGTCCACCGTGTTGATTGCAGCTGTTATTCGATTTTTCAAGTCATCGATACTTGCTGGAAGTGCTGGAACATAAACTTGGTCTTTAACATACCCCCACAAGAAAAAGTCACACACAGTGAGATCCGGGGATCTGGCAGGCCAAGCACAGAGAGCAAGGTCTTTAGCACCTCTCCTCCCAATTTATCGCTGAGGCACGTTTTCATTCAGATAAGCTCTAACCCCGAGATGCCAATGAGGTGGTGCTCCATCTTGCTAAAAAATGAAGTCATTCGAATCTGCTTGCAGTAAAGTGAATAGCCAGTTTGGGAGCATTTCGAGATAGGTTTGTCCTGTTTGTAGCTGCACCGGAAGTTATACTAACAACAGCGGTGAAACTGACACCCAATCAAACTTTGATAACTACTCTATGAAATAACCACTGATTCAGTCCACTACAATGCTATAAACCTGAAAAAAAAAAAAACAGTGTAATGATTTGGGCGTATTCTTTTTGAAACACCCTGTATAAACAAAAAACTCCTATACTTTATGGTTCTTAGCAGTTTTTCAACCTCTGTTAAGACACCTACCGCCCCACCCTGTTCCGCCATCCATGCCCATCGGGTAAGTGCCTCGCTGCCTTCCCCGATCTCTCTTGCCCTCGATATTTTTCAAGTTTTCCAAGCCCTCCTCCGTCATTTCTTGTCCAAGAAATTTCAGTTGTCTTTTCCTGATTCTGTGTATAAGTGTTCTTTCTGTTGCCAATTTTCTTTAAGACTTCTTTGTTGCTTACTTTGTCCTTCCATAGAATTCTCAGTATCCTTCTGCAGAACCACATTTCTTCTGCCTCGAATTTTCTTAAAATAATGAGGAGATTGTCCAGCATCCACTGTCATATAAGAAAGTTTTCATTGTTTCTAACGTGGTTTTTTTCTGTTTCTAAGAACCTTGCTTATCTTACCTCCATAAGATTTCTGTATAAACAACATTTTTGGCAAAACATTTCTTTTGTCATTATGGTAATTACACTTGGATTTTTCTACTTGAGACATAACTACGTAGAGCTGACCATGATAGAAATATCTGAATAATAATAATAATAATAATAATAATAATAATAATAATAATAATAATAATAATAATAAGGAGATAGGACCTGTTACAATTCTATGGGATTACACAATACACACTGACAGAACAATCAAGGCCAACCGGCCAGATATTGTTATTAAAGACCACAAACAAAAACGGTGCCTCCTTATTGATATGGCAGTCCCTGCAGACTGCAATGTATCTTTGAAGATATTCAAAAAGCTGTCAAAATACAAGGACCTTGAAATAGAAATCTCGAAAATGTGGCATATGGGAACATCAACAATCCCTGTTGTAGTTGGAGCCCTAGGACTGGTTGGAAAAGATTGCAGTAATTGAAGGGATTCCTGGAAGTTCATGCGTCAAGGAAATACAAAAAATTGTTCTGACAAGTACAGCCCACACTTTACGAAGGGCTTTATCTATGTAATTTTTTTTTTTGTCAGTGGAAAGTGTCATGATGGCATTTCTAACCTTAGGTCCCTGGGCGGGACCCGGAAAGAAATGTGTAGACGCCAGAAATCAAAGAAAATAAAAAATAAAAAAAGTAATAATTCAGCAAGCTTAGTGTTTTTCCTTTAGCTTATTTTTACTTATTTATAAGTCTATCATTCACCCATACTCCGAATATTGCTGCCACATTTGGTCTGGTGCTCCTGCTATATACTTAGAAATTCTTCATAAAACCCAAAGAAAAATCTGCAACGTTATTTAGTCCTGACCTGGTATCCCAGCTTCAGTCACTTTCCCATCGCCGTAATGTAGCTTCTCTGTGATTTTCTACAAATACTTTCATGGTAATTGTTTTGAAGAACTATCCTCTATGGCACCTAGACCTGAATTTAAGCGCAGTACTAGATTGGCAGCTAGGTCTCATCATTTTACAGTTGAATTGGCTAGATGTGACCGTAAGTTCCTTGCTAACAATTTCTTTTCTCGCACTTCTCGCTTGTGGAACTCTCTTCCGGCTTCTTGATTTCCAGCCAACTTTAATCTGCAAAAAATTAAATGCTCTGTCAATCTTTATCTACTGTCTTCTTGATTCCTCTTCTTTTATTGTTCTCACTCCTTAATAATGTTTTTAATTTTTCTTATTCTTTCACACTCAGTAACTGCTTGTGCCTCAGTGGCTTTTTTGGCTTGTTTGGAGTGAAATGATTTAAAAAAAAGAAATTGGATAATTCCGTAAAATTTCTTTTTCGGTTATGCTCCACTAACATGTGAAATGTCAGATGACAACAATGGTTACTACGAACGCCGCAGAAATTATATCGTAATTAACTGGGTTTAAAATTATAGAATTCTATAAAAAAAAATTATTATCTTAAAAAATTAAATTTAAGATTTATTTACTTTACGCTTCACAAAAAAATATAGTTTTAGAAGCCCAGATTAAATTCATTTTACGGTTATTTTTATGGTTATTTTTTTTTTTTTTTTTTTTTTGCTTATAACTGAATTTTCATAAGACATATATAAATTATTTCTATACAAATATGATGAATTAAAATAAATTGACTAGAACTGGTTATATATGGAAATTTTTACAACTTGAATTAAAAATACATAACACAATGGAAATATTTACTAGAATAGGCTTTTAAAATTGTTATGCAAATATGTTCTTTATCTGGCATCAGTCACTTTCTCACCGCCGTAAGGTCACCTCTGTGTTTCTTTTCTATAAATACTTTCATGGTAATTGTTCAGATGAGCTCTTCGCTATGGTACCTAGACTTTATGAATTTAAGCGCAGTATTAGTCTGGTGTTGAGATTTCATCAATTTACAGTTGAATTGGCTCGATGTGACCGTAAATTCTATGCTAACAGTTTCTTTGCCCGCACGTCTTGTCTATGACACTCCCTTCTAGCTTCATGCTTTCCAGCCAACTTTAATCTACAAAAATTTAATTGCTGTCCTCCTGGTTACTCTTTCCACTTCCAGCTCCTTATTAAGGTTTCTGTTCCTAATTCTTCCACACCCATTAACTCCTTGCGTCTTAGTGACTTTACTGCCTTTCATGGGGTGATACTGATTAAATATACATATTAAATGTTACCTCTTATATTGTAAATGCAATTTGTTAGTCATATATAAAAGGCTGTAAAATTATGATACGGTCTGTTTTGTTTTTCTGATGTTAAGTGCGGGAAGCAGATAATATTTAGTCTTAGGCAAATTTATAAGAGAAGATAGGTTAACATCCTGAGAGTTTATTATCAAGAGGAGAGTACTCATGAAAGGCTTTAGTGTTCTTCATGGCTATCGAATGATTTGGAGAGGAAAGGTTTGGTTACACATGGTAGGAAATTTGCGCATTCGTGAGAGATTTATTTTATTTTTTGCTTTTGTGTAACAGCTGGCTGCTTGATGATGCGTTTAAATTTTAATGTGTTCATCTGCCAAACGGATATTTTTTTTAAATGTTTTTTCCATTTCATGGAGGTTTGTGACAGACATGAAAATGCAAAGTGTGATTTTTTTTTTTTTAGGGATCAGTGTCCGTTCTCATATCATGGAACTGAGGTATTGTTAAAAGTAAAAAAATAAAAAAAAGTTTACTGCTTCTGTCATTATCATCTTTTCTATTCCCCATTTTAACAGGGTACTTTCGCTGGGGATCAAATATCTGTACGTCTCCTCATTACAACTGCGTTCTCTTCAGTATTCTTCCTCGTGTGCTCCTTATGTTCCCGCATCAGGCGTATCAGATAATTTCAGTTGGAGATCACATGACAGCAAGACGTTTCAATGTTACCGCACTTTAAACAGTATCCTTTCAGATACCGTAAATTGCAACGTACGACTCGAGTTTTCAAGCCGGATAAAAATTTCCACATGTAGGGATCGACTTATATGGCTGCTATAAAATGTAAGCTATTACCAACGAGTTGTAAACAAGTGAGACAGCATTTCTAACAATTACTTTACTCCATTTGCCGTATCTCCAGCAGGCTGCCACAAAGATATCCGACTAAAATTTCTGTTTATTGAGTGTATTTGGCATATTAACACAGAAATTAATATAAAATAATAAAATCGTAGCACAAATTCAGTTCTCTATTAACACTACAGAACACATCGCGTCAAGCAGCTGATACACTAAGTTTAAACACTGACCGAAGCGCCGTTTAACTCAGTCGGTCATTTAGACAACTAGCTATCGTATGCGTGCCATCTGCAGTTTCATAATAGTAACGACAGTGATATTTTATAAGAGTTGATGCTGACTTTAATGTGTTTATCAGTAGATCTGGCAAATTTTAAATGTTCGCCAAGTTATATCAATAGAGTATACAGTACCTACCGGTGTGCGCTGCAGGTTGTTTGCTACACAATACATATCGAAAGATATTACGCTTAGTGTCTCAATATACAGGTAAGTAGTGTGACCGTATGTAGTTTTTGGTACAGGTTATCGTATATTGTAGCCTAACTTCATTTACTGGTAGGCCTAAGTTTT